TCCTACCTCGGTTTGACTTTCCAAAGTGCAATCCCTCACACTTATCTGTATTGAATTGCATTTGCCAATCCTCAGCCCACTTCCCCATCTGATAAAGATCCCTCTGTAGTTTTTGATAATGTTCCTCGCTGCAAACGATACCTCCTAATTTTGTATCATCCGCAAACTTACTAATCATGCCTTGTACATTCACATCCAGATCATTTATGTAAATAACAAATAACAAAGGTCCCAGCACCAACCCCTGTGGCACACCACTAGTCACAGGACTCCAGTCCGAGAAACAACTTTCAACCGTTACTCTCTGCTTCCTACCATCGAGCCAATTTTGAATCCAATTAGCTAACTCTCCCTGAATCCCTTGCGACCTAATCTTCATGACTCAGCTGCCATGTGGGACTTGTCCTTCTAGACATTAGAGTTCATGGGTTTGGAACGTGCTGTCGAAGGAGCCTTGGTGATTTACTGCAGTGCATCTTGTAGATGATGCACATTTGCTGCTGTTGCGTGTTAGTGAGAAGGGAGTGAATATTGAAGATGGCGGACGGAGTGGCAATCAAACGGACTGTTTTGTCCATAATAGAGTCAACATTCTTGAATGTTGTTGGAGCTTTAGCCATCCATGCAAATAGAAAGTATTCCATCACAATCCTGATTTGAACATTGTATATGGTGAACAGGCATTGGGAAAACAGGAAGAGATTTACTCACCGAAGAATTCCAAGCCTTTGACCTGATCCGTGGTATTTATATAACTGGTGGAGTTCAGTTTCTGATTCATGGTAACCTGCAGGTTGTTGTTACTGGGAAATTCAACCATGGTGGTGTCATTTGATTATCAAGGAACACTGGTTATGTTCTCTCTTGTTGGAGATGATCATTACCAGGCTCTTGTGTGGTGCAAATGTCAATTGCTACTGGTCAGTCCAAGCCTGGATGTTGTTACACATGATCATATGAATGATATGATAGGAATTGACTACATATGAACAGAGATCACTTTAGTACCTGAAAAATCTACAATGGTGCCAACCATTGTTCATTTAACAGTGAATATCTAACCTTATGATGGATGGATGCTCACTGATAAAGCAGCTGAGTTTGGTAGGACCTAGGACTCTACCCTGAGGAACTCTTACAGAGATGTCCTGAGAATGAGATGGTTGACCTCCAGCAACCACATGATCATCTTCCTTTGTGTGACATAGGATTCAAAACAAGAAAGACTTGTCCTCCAATTTCTGTACAGTCTAGTTTTGCTACGTCTCCTTTATACCATACTTGGTCAAATTCTGCTTTGATATTACAGACAGTCACACTCACGTCACCCATAAACTACCACCGATGTTTGTATATACCTCATCTTTGAGGAGTTAGGAGGCAGGCTATTCACTACAAAACTCCTAGCCTTTTACCACCTCCTGTAATCATACTATTTATATGGTTGGTCATGTAGTCATAGAGATCTACAGCATTGGAAAAGGCCCTTTTGACCATCATATCTGCGCTAGCCAAAAGCAACCATCTCACTATTCTTATCCCATTGTCTACTACTTTGCACATAGTCTTGTAAGCCTTGGCATCACATGTGTACATCTAAATACTTTTTAAATGTTATCAGGGTTTCTGTCTCTACCTCCCATACAGGCAATGAGTTCCAGATTCCCACCATCCTCTGTGTGAGAGGGCCCAGTTTGCTTTCTAGTCAATGGTAACACAGTGGGGGAATTTAACAATCATGACCCTGTTGAATATCTAGTTGGAGATGGCCACACCTGGATCTTTTGTGACATAAATATTACTTGCCACTTATTAGTCTAAGCCTAAAAGTTGTCCAGATTTTGTTTTATGTGAGCATGGACAACATCAATATCTTAGACGTTGTGAATGACACTAAACCCTGTTGATGTCCACAAATCACAACAATCTCCCTTTGTGCTTGGTTGGTATGATTTCAATCGTGGAGAGTTTCCGATGATTTCCGATGATTTCAATTTAGCTAGGTCTCCATGAAAACACACTCAGTAAAACGCTGGCTTGGCATCACGAGTAAGTGCTGTCACCACTGTTATCGGGAACTCAGCTTTTTTGCCTATATGTAGACAAATTTTGTAATGAGATAAAGGGACGGAGAAATCGCCACAATGATCACAGTTGCAGTTTGACAAACATTGGAAGTTATTTAGACAGATCTGTTATATGTAATATGTCTTCAACCAGTTGTGTAACTTTGAACAGATCAGAACGATGTATTCAACATGTCATATTGTTGTAGAAGTAGAAAAGTCACCTTGAAATGTTGGAAGTTAATGGTGGGCATGTATATTTACTGATATATTTGCAACCTGTAACCTTTAATCAGCAACTTAAATCAGTGATTATAGACCACATAATGTTACAATGACCTGTGGTGAGAAAGTTGAAAAACGAGGGTATGAAGCATGATTTCAATTGTAAATTGTATCTCAAAGTTGTAGGCCATGCCAGAATGAGGTATGATTATGCAGAATATGCAATGAAACAGTTGCTGCTTTCTGCAGAGGCTTGGCATAATGACAGGACATAAATTTGTAGGAAATATGCATCCAAAATTTTGATGTGCATTGTCACAGAAGTTTCTGGTTGAAAAAACAAACCTTCATCCAGATCAACAGAGTCGATTTTAACTTCCAACAAGTTTTAGGCAAGTAAGGGGTGGATGCACACAAAATGTATCTGTATGCATGATTTCAGATCCAGTCTATTGTTAATTCATGAGCCCCTGTTCCATATCATTGGTCAAAACACATAGGAAGCACTAAAATAAAACCAAGAACTGCAGGTTCTGGAAATCTGAAACAAGAACAGAAATTGCTGGGGAAAGTCAGCAAGTTTGGCAGTGTGTGTACAGAAAGCAGAGTCAATGTTTCAGGTCCAGTGATCCCTCATCAGAACAGACGCACCAACTGATTGGCAGATGGAAGTTAAAGTTCTTGTTTTGCAGATGTTGCTGACAACCAAGTATTGATCACTGAAAAAGGGCACAGTGCAGTTGGGGGATAGGTCCAAGTTAACATCTAATCAGTCCCATTACGATGTCCTTTTGCATTACCAGTTCAAGCTCTTGCCTAATTAAATTGGCATCTCAGCTATCTAATTACAGTAAGATGTTGAAACAGTTGTTAGCAGAAATGGGCCATTAAGTCCTCACACTTCCTTTTAAATACTTTCTGCCTTGGAATATGATTTCTGGCATTCATAAAATACCTAAGGTAAATGCAGTCTCTGTTTTGTACATATTATTCTTTGTACATACAAAATGGCTTTGTTTCTAATCTGTATCTTTGGCAGACAGAGCTTGTTTTGAACATTTGTGCCCTGTTGCTGGACTCTTTCATATAACAGAGTGTCGAGATGTAGAGAACACCCCTATACCTTGCACTTTGCAATTCCTCATTCTGTTACTTGCCTGCAAAACACCTTACTAACTCATCTCTGACAACTCTTGTAACAAAAACTAGTCTTGAGTCAAGCGTTTCAGAGATAGTAGGACCTGCAGATGCTGGAGAATCTGAGATAACAAGGTGTAGAGCTGGATGAACACAGCAGGTCAAGCAGCATCAGAGGAGCAGGAAGGCTGACGTTTCGGGCCTAGACCCTTCTTCAGCCTTCCTGCTCCTCTGATGCTGCTTGG